TATCGCGATATATATTGATATCGAATTATTGTCCAGCCCTAGGTTCTAATAATCTTTCCTGAAGTCAAAAAGGTTCTCTCAGGCAACTGGCCATTCTTCAATGTTACTGCATGGTGCCCTAAACCTGGACTGACATTCTGCGAGCTGCCAGAAGTGAGGGGGTCTCCTCATTAACCTCGCATGGCATCCAGATCAGTGTTCTCCATCTCTGTCTACTCTGATGGCAAGACTGCACACAGCAGACCGCTGGTGACGACTGCATATGCCAAGGTCAGATTCGTAAGCACTGCCAACTTATTTTTGAGCTTTTTGTAGAAAATACCATCTCAGTTGAGGCAGGTCTCTCTTGCCTTAATACAAGCATACAACTGTTGCTATTCTATAAAATTCTTCTATGCTTTTACTTGTGCTCCTTTGCTGCAATACATAAAAATACCATTTAAGTTAAAGTGCGAGGGAAACTAGATAACTAAAAAATGGTGTATTACATATTCTGGTTTGTTACACAATTTAAAGGTAAGTGATATATCTCTGTAGCCTCGCTTTATTGAATAACTAAACTCTATACTGTTTATATTTTCTTTTTTTTTTTTTTTTGCAAACTCCGGACTACATTGTGAGATTTCTTTACATAAACTGATATGTAAAAAGCATGAAGTGTGAGACTGGGAAAGTGTTACATTCATTAGATGGTGCCCTGCCCTGCTAGGCTACATCCACAATCATCTTCATCCACAATCAGAGGGATGTCAACACGGCATATACACACACGCTCAATGGCAGGCCAGCTCAACACTGCACATACACTCAATGGCAGGCCAGCTCAACACGGCACATACACGCACAATGACAGGCCAGCTCCACACAGCACACACACGCACAATGACAGGCCAGCTCAACACGGCACACACATGCTCAATGATATGTCTTCTCAACACGGCACACACAGGCTCAATGACAGGCCAGCTCAACACGGTACATACACATACACTCAATGGTCAATTAAGAGACTGGATGTATTTAGAGAGCAGGGAAAAAAAACCGTGCAACACAGGAAAAAGAGGCACACACTACACACAGAACAAAGGCAGGACTCAAACCTACAACCCAGGAGGTGTGACACAACGGTACCACTCACTGAGCCACAGTATAGCCAACCAGGCTACATAAAAATATTTAGTGTTAATTCACCTTGTCTGCAGGTTGACTAAGATATTCAAAAACACCATCTGTTACTGTTTGAAAACTTGTCCAAAGGGTATGTTCTATTTTCAAGAAAGGAAATCTTTGATTTTTTTTTTTACTTTTGGCATTGTGTTTTTGAATTCTGGTCCTAGAGGGCATTACTCTGCAGAAGGTTTATAATTATTTTAGTGTAACTTCTGAAACTATTCGAACAGAAGACGTAACTTAGTCCTTTCAAGACCGTTTGTAACTGTGAGTTGGGGTGACCTGGTAGAGTAGACGGCTGATGCTGTGACTGACAGCCAGGCTGCGGTTTAAATGGGAAGGACCATCATAGCTAACCCGGGGAATCGCAGCTGTCCTGGGTCCCCAGAAGCTGTGCCACATCAGCCTCCAGCACTTCTACCTGGAGCAGGAGAAGACGTGTTTGGGTCCCCTGGAACTGCGTCACCACGCCAGGCATTATGGGTAGGTGCCGTCTCAGGCCCAGCAGTGTCTCCAGGTCCTCAGCCAGGCGCACCAAGAGGGGGTCTCCCCAGGCAGCGGTCACCCGTCGGGCAGAGTGGGCAGCCAGAGCCCGGGATAAGCGTGGAACGGCATCTCGAGGGCTAGCCGACGCCTCATAGGACGGGACGTTCCGCACCAGCACGTAACTCAGCAGCAGGCACCTCAGCAGGCAGGAGCAGGCCTCCAGCAGCGGGGGGTCTATGGTCCGCACATCCTGGGCGTCCCGCGCGGAGTCCCCTTCCTGGGCCCACCTCCCGAGCTCCTTCTGTAGGGCTGGGGAGACCACGTCCAGCGGAGTCCTGCCCTGGCCATCCCGCAGCTCCAGGAGAGGGGAACCTGGGGGGGGGGGGGGATTAGGGTCAGTTACTGCTTTAGATTCTCACTCACACTTACTATTAATGCTATGTACACCTCCCTGCTACAAAGTGTGTAGTACTTTGGGCTAATGAAGTCTGCATATAACAGCAGTTTTTAAAAACAGTCCTTTGATAATGAGCCATTTCTATTATTGTTGCTATTAGTCTGCAATGAATTACATGGTTTAATAGTAAATATTAGGAATGAGAAAATTAGATAGATAGATAGATGGATACTGTAGATGGATGGATGTCTGCTTTTGGCCATTGAATCTTGTGGCATAAAGAAGGCAAAGCTGCCTTTAAAAGGAGCTCAATTGGTCAATAAAGCAGAAAGCCAACCTGGAAGAAGTCAATGAGAGAAAAGCAGATAGAAACAGAATAAAGAGCAGACAAATTAGCACACTGACAGACATCAATGGGAGTGACTGTTTCCACAGTGTACCTACATGTTGTAGCTCAGCTCACAGCTAACTTATGTTGACATAATTAACTGACCTTATCAGGTCAAATTTGCACAGGCCAATTTAACGTTACTCACCTGATACAGTTAATGGCTGTAACTGGATATAAGGCTAAAGTTAGCAAAGAAATGTGCAAAAATTAAAGGTGACGGTGGCTGATAATACACACACAGCCCGTATTGTCATTTAAACAATACATGCAATAACAGTCCTTTGCTGTAGGCTTCTCATTCACTTTCACCTTCTCACTATTTTCCTGCCGGGAATTGACTGTAACAGGATCACTCGAAACGTGTCAGCTGAAGGTACTTAGTTAGCCTTTGTGAATGCATTTTGAAAGTCTAACTGACCACTTCAGTTGCTAACCGGCACGTCACCACACCACACGGCTGGAATGTCCCAGCCGCTTGTTAGCTAGTTCATGCCGGAACGCTGCAGCACAATGCGTCTCGGTTTACAGTGGTTTCAATGGCCAGACAGTGACACATGGGGCCGTCTTCTTCCTTTGAAAGAAAAGGCTGTATTATCTACAACAGACATCTCTAGTGGGCCACTGAGATGATGGTATATATATGGCTTCTCTATAAGTAGCTGTTCAAAGAAGTTATTCCACAAAAGAAAACAACAATAGACAATGCAGAGGTTGAAGACGGAACCGTTGGTGTCATAGTTGCATGTGAACTGAAGGGAGTAAAAGCCAGCCTATTATTATTAGGCAGTGTCTGCTTATTACCAAGGCGAGACTGATATGGCTTTGTCGACAGTTTCGACAAAAGAACATCCAAAGTTTGGGGACATTCTTTTAAGATGAATAAATTGTACAAAAGGATCCTTGCTTGTGAGAGTACCCTCATTTTGTATATTCCAAAATCAGACATTTGTTTTTCGGTTACGGAAAATATGGAGAGCTATGTTCTGCATATGCTCTGCTATGTTCTAACGGACCTCCTTTGTGACATCTCTGCTTTTCACAACAAATAAAAACTAATTTAGTAACTCAGTTGCTACTCAATTAGAAACCGTGAACAAATATATTAACTTCATGAAATACATGAACCGTTATGACTGATTAATCATGAATGAACACAGGATCAGTATGTAACTAACGCTTAGTTTTTGGTTAATTAATACATTACGTAAGAGTATACTACTACATTATTTGTGTCGCCTCAAGTAAAGTGTTAAAGTATCTGTTAGCAGTAGCAATTTTTCCCTAACATTGTCAAGGCTCTGTACCATCTTTTATATCAGTTATCAAGTGTTTAAAGCACATTTTAATATTTTACACTGTGACCTTCTCTCTACTGTCTACTGGATGATTGCAGAGTGTGGATGGATTTATATATTTTAAGTGGTGGGTAAGAACATTTTAAACAAACATTAGCTTATCTGTCACTGTAGAATTAACACTCTTCCAGGTAATAGCGCTGTGCCACCATTTGTTTTAGTCCAAGATAAATAAAACAAAGCTTTGTTCTGTGTAGTAAACAGTCATTAAGTAGATGGCACTAAGAAGGGATATGGCTGTATTCCCATCAACATTTTTCTAGGGTTGTATGACTTCAAAGGACAAAGTGCACTTGATGAAAAACACAAGTCATAAGATGAGACCAATGTAAATAGAATAATTCATAATAATTGTATTAGTACTATCAAGCTGTACATTAGTTAGAATTGCCAATATTTAGAGACTAAAACATACAGTTTACCGCAGAGTAACATCTTGCATGGAATTCCTGGCTGAATTCACTGAGGGTGATGTGCAGCTCAGTGGATTAAGGATCTGTCTCTGGAAGTTTGTGAGTCTGAATCCTGAAGATGACAGAGTGATCATATCGGCGGTCGGCCCTTGAGCGAGGCCTCCACCCTGACCTGCTCTGGGGGGATCGAACGCTCGCTGATACTGCACTCTGACCTCACGTCTATACACATCTGTGTCTCTGACGAAAAGCACCCAACTTCCCCACGGGGATAAATTAAATATTCTACTCTATTCTAATATCTCACCATAACTTCTGAACAAGACCTAGAACTAGTTACCCATACAGAACATAAAACAGCATGTAACCTTCTTAATGCACTCCTTAATACATGATGCCATAAATTAATCTTGAACAACATGATTGAGTTCTGCAGAGTCATATTTAATAATATGCAGAATACTGTAATATTTAGGAAAATAAAAGTATGTGCAGAAAACAGAACAAAAGAAGGCTAGTATGTTTAGGGGGCTATAGTTACCAACCAGAAGCAGATACCTAACATGGGGCAGCATTAATCTTTAATGGTTAGGGGCATTTTTCCCTTAAACATCACTAAACGATCTGACTTCATGCACTAACACACATATCCACGCAAACTGTATATGGATGCAGTACAATAGAGTAATAAAAAGAATCGCCAGCAGGTGGCAACACACTAAAAAAGTAAAACAATATCCTTTGTTTTCACTTTGGCCGTTCTGTGTTTATTACTACGAAATGTAACCGGGAAGGCAAAAGTATTTGTTTTATTAAATGTAATGCAATGCATCTGGTCAGGAATTACAAATTTATGACTTTAGTATTAAGAACGTATAATGAATTTATATCGCGTGCTGGTTTACGTTGCTTATTTGAAGCACAGTACACCGCGAAGGCACAAAGAGCAAACTGCCTTGCGATGTTCTGACAGTGAAATATAAAGCAGAAGGTAAGAATCGGCATTGTGTCGGGGTCACTGAGGAGTAAGAGGCAGGCTACCCCCTGTCTCACTGCAATGCAACCTAACTACAGGGAGTTATTAAAATGCAGTGATTTAAGCATGCACTGCAAACAGAAAGCGATGGGCAAAGTTTTTCTTTCCTTTAACCAGCCCCCCTCCCCCCCCAACTCCCCCCTCGGCCATGCAAAAGAGGGTGGTGGCAAATCAAGCCCCTCAACGGCATAAGAGTCGGCGGCCCAAGGCTGACGAGGTCCCCGCTGCAGCAGCGTCAAGCTGCTTGACAGGCTGAAACCTGGGATGTGACAAAGGCAGAGCGGGGGGCGCCGGCGTGCGCGTGGGGGCTCGCTCACTCGCTCGCACGCGCACTCACCCACCGCAGCCTGATGAATGCGAACGCAGGCTACCTCGCCCTCCCCCAGGACAATGCAATGAGTCGCTGCCTATTCTTCACAATGGCCCATGAAATGCACATCTGTCAATGCTTTGCTATTCCCCTTCAGAGAGGCCGGCGCTTGATACCATATTGGCTGCCGCATCACCGAGAGCGATTGAAGTAAGTCCAGGTATTGGCGTGGTGTGTCAGATACACCGCCTGGCAGATAAACAGAACACCTGGGGGATTAGGCGTAAGCCGCAGTAACAACGGCGAGCGTCACGGCCGGGAACGAGGCAGCGTGGCCTTTAGAGGGCAGGCGAAGACTGCGAATGAAACGGCGAGCGACTAGTAAGGGGAGGGGGGGTGGGGGGGGGGACAAAAAAAAAGAGAGGCAGGCCGCCAGCGAGAATCAGTCCCCATCTCCCCGCTGTCTAAGAGCCGCAGCTGAGCCAGACATGCTTCGATGCAGTTCAGCTGCGGGCCGTACAGTAAACACTGCATGCGACTCCCGCATGACGGACAGACTTGAATTGGGTGAGCAGAGCCAAAGGCCAGAAGCGTGACACTGCAAGTACCAGGAGCAGCTCGCAGGACTGCGAGATAATATAATAAAACCCATTACAGTGAAAGGAAGACATCGCAGTGGGGAGTTCAGTGCAACTCAGGAAACACACGGCGGTTTGTGTTTGGCTAAAGGACGTGGGGCAGCGTGGGATGCAGGACGGCACAGAAACCTTGAGAACAATAAACTCCTAACAGAGAACACCCTCATGGAGTGCAAAAGCAAGAAGAGAGACTGGAGTGAGATTGCCGCCCCAAGGAGAGAACCCAGATAGAGCTTATACTGTATGTAGCAGTCTATATGACTGCTACATATTATGTAACATATACATGTAACACATTGGCAATTGGCCAATGCAGAACACTTGAAGCTGTTCTAAGTACAAGTGTACTCTTTGCTGAAATCTAACAGAGGGTCAGGGGATAAAACTGTAACACTGCTGGGACAGACAGACAGACAGACAGACAGACACATTCATATTGAATCAGTGCAGCTCCCTGTAATGAAATCACATGTTGTGGATCCATGTTTTGTCATTCTGTCAAAAACTTCTCTAAGCCCTGATCTAAGTCACAGCTCAAATAAAGGCGGACACAGCGAACACACCGAACAGTGTGTATACAGAGATAACCAATATCTCACCATCTGGAATAGTCATATACCGTTAAATGTCTTTAATCACACTATCTTGGCAATTACATTAAATAGGGGGAGGTGTTTTTTTTGTTCGGCCAAGCTACCATTAAGGTGTCTAAAATTCTATCAATGTGATATTTTTGTCAGCTGCGGAGGACGTGGCGTGCATCCTATACAAATGAATCATCCGTCTCTCTTAGTCAGGATCAGCGAGGTGTGATTAGGCCTGGCTTTTAAGCCTCCTCATTATCCAGCTATTCTCTTGCTCCGTTTCTTGCAGGAAAATGACTTGAATGCTGCAACCTTGAAGCAGCATTTTCCATTTATATTCAATGTATTGCATCTGACAAAGAATAAAAAGAAGGGGGAAAAAAAAACTGATACAAATATCCCCTGGACTAAATGTTAAATGAGCAGAAGTGAAACATTCTGCAATACTATCTATTAAAAATGCATCTCAAGGACATTGGCTTTATGAGGAGGTGAAAAAGGTATGGTAAGCTGCAGTTCTAAACGCACTACTTAAAGACAGATATTCATCCTTGGCAAATAGATCGTGCTCCAGGTTACTTTGTCAAAGTTTAAGGAGTTAAAAACTAACAATAATAAACTTTGAACAAAGGTCATGGTTCTGGCCTAAAGCTTTTGTTTCTTGGAGAGAACGTGAAAAGAAAATGTAACTTCCTATTTAAATAAAGCAAAAAAGAAAAAGACAAAAATGGCCAGAGCTGCAGGAAGTCTAGGCGTAACCAACAGCTTAGGGACTTGGCCGCAATATATGATTTTTAAGCTACGACAATACTGCAGCATTAAGAAATACAGAAATATTCTTTGCACAAGCTTGTGGGTCTGCTGGAGTGTAGGTATCTGTGAACACAGGCGCTCAGGCAAAGTGAGGACTGCTGTATCAGCATGGGATGAGAGCTAGGAAAATCAAAGCCATCAATCACCGTGACACCCCCTGCTTGGGTAGCACCCAAAGAGGGGTGGGCTTTGGGAGATGCCGCGCAGAGCGTCCCGCCCGCCCCCCCCCCCCCGCGGTTCTTCATGAGACAGAGATCTCATTATCTGCCGGAATTCCTCCTGCAAGGTCATCGAAATAATGGAAATATTAAGTGGCCACTTGAACATGTCTCTATCAACAGGTTATTACTCTACCACGGTATAGATGCAACCCTCCATGCCATGGTTAAAACACACATATGTGCACTGTTCAATAATATACAGGGAAACATCGCCTTCCTGTGTCATTCAATGACGCTTCTGGGATGAGCTCATTTTGAAGGGCGTACGTCTATAAGCTGAGATGCTAAGCGGCTACAGAAGTAAATATCAGTAGAGTAGAAGGTAGAAAAAATGACTTAAAAAAAGGCTTAAAGAGAAACTGAGGAAACTGCACAGTGGATGAGTGACAATGTCTCCTTCGCTGGTTATTTAAGAAAACCATGCTTGTATCAACTTTTTTTGCACTTGCTCCATATGACGAAAAATCAGGAAAGGGCAATGAAAACGAGAATGTTCCTAATTTTTAAAAGAGCCATCACAGGCAGTAAAGTAAATGATACAACACTACTGAGTGTCAGCTATTGGGTGGAGATAATTTCGTACAGACTGACGCAGGGGAAATCCTGACCGCTTGAAGGCTCTTTACTTCTTCTTTCTACAATTCCTGTCTTTGGGGTTGCTGACACTTAAGCCAAAGGTTACTTTACATTCCAATCAGGAAGTCTCTGGCCATCTTGCAAAAATCAAACACCCGCGCGAGGCACGAATCCGAGGTCAGGAGGTGGGCAGGGCCAGCCTTCGGCGTGCCAATGAAAAGCGCAGGCCTGCCCTCCGCCGGGGCATTGGCTGCACAGTGCTGCCGGGCTGCCGTGCACTCCTTCATCATTCTCACATGAGCAGTTTTATTTTAAAGCCAGGATTTTTTAATTGTGCTTATAGACATAATAATGGCAAATGCCACGAAACTGACTTTGAAGCACCTCAACCTTCTTTGCTGTGATATATATATATATATATATATATATATATATATATATAGATAGATAGATATATATATATATATATATGAAAATATACACACACACAGTATATAGAGTACATAAGTGCTTCTCAATATTAATTTCCTTTATATGTTCATGTTGTCATTTCTAGAGAAAAACATCGTTATAGAAGTTTTAGAATAATCAGTTTACATGTCAATATTCAATACCTAAAAATTTTAAGCAACAGTATTTAATGTATTTTCACACATCTATTTTGAATGTCCTACAAAACTTCCATCATTACCCCTGCAAGTGTCTTTCCATAACAACTGAAATATAAGAAACAGCAGAAGGAATTAGGCAGTTAGTTGAGGACAAAAAAAGCATAAAGTGTCAGCTCCAGAGAGCAAATTAGCATTTTTTATCCGATATATTTATCATTGTAATCTTGTGCTGAAACTTCGTAGACGGAGGAGGGACCCAGGTTCTTAGTGTGTCTAATTTTATGAACAACATTTTCTCCTGACCTGTTTAAATCTCTTCTTCTCTTCATTTGCTGCAAACCTATTCCTCCCTGGGACCAAACAATCCCAATCTAATTTTTTTTAGGACAAAATTATGTATGTGTGGTAATGGGAGTGAAATCTAATGACCTATTATTAGTCAAACCGGGCAGCTAAGCGAAGCGGTGGTACATACATCGGTGTCCTTGCAGCCCCTCGACCGCTCCCTCCCGAAAACTGATCTGCCCTGTTTTGACACAACGCGCCGATCTCAAGATCCCGATCAGTAATTGTGCGTGGCAAGCGAGCACAAACACACAGAAGATAGCTTTGTTTTGACAGACTTCCCACAAACTCATGTATGAATTTCGCAAGTGCCGGGACCTGACTCTTTTAATCTCTTCAAAAACACGTTAATGGACAACGAATATGTGAAAGAATTATATGTTTTGACAGATGTTTTGAGGAAATACAAGTACGCAGCAAGGCGGCTAAACCAAGATGGCAGAGAAGGCAAACACGCCTCTGAAAAGAGTCAGCGCTCCAGGCCGCCTTGGATACTCCGCACATTTATTCATGCTCCTGTTATCTCACTGTATTAGTCGTTTACAGGACTATAAACTAAATGCCGCACATTATCTCATTCCAGCATGATGTAATCTATCAACAAATGGCTCATGGCCTGGCTGCCCACAGCTCGTCTCTGCTGCTTTCGCTTTTCTGGCCCGGGAACAGAGCTCAGCTACATTCCAAAGAACTTCTCATATCAACCTCAGGGGAGCTAACAGTTCATTTCTATATCGAACCTGCGATACACTCAACTCTGGGCTATAAATGGAAGCAATATGTATGAGAGTGCGCATGACTGTAGGCCTGCAATCTATATGTATACATGTATGTATGCTGAAGAAACTGGATCCCCTGGGAGATGCTAGCATTTATTTTTCAGGACATTGTGTTCTTGCATTACATACTATATTCAGAATATGAGACTTAAATATAACTATATGCGTTTGGTTCTCCATAAAATAAGGTTTTTTTTGGTTTGCAATTGAATAACAATGCCTTGGATAAAAAATTCTAAGGATTTTAAAAACAGATATATCAAAAAAATAAAAATAAAAAATTAGGCCCCTTGCATGCATTTATATTAGCTGCTGCAGTGTTCTGTGAGCCTGGTAATAACCATTTATAAAAACGTTTGTGACAGGGGATGACGCATGTTTAACTGCAGCAGTGTGAGAGCAGTGGCTGACCTGCATACTGTAGCAGCATCTTGGCGATATCAACATGGCCATTGAGGAGGGCGTCATGCAGGGGGCTGACTCCGCCTACTTGGACATCCAGGTGGAGGTTGGGGCAATGCTGTAAGAGGGCCTGCACGCATGCACTGCTGCCATGGTTACACGCTTCATGCAGGGGGGTCCAGCCGGCGTAATCTGACAACAGACAAACCAAAAAGTAATTAACAGTGTATAAGAAAAGCTGTTAGTTATTACGCTGTTAGTTATTACGCTGTTAGTTATTAGTTATTAAGAATGTGTCATAAACGCTACGGAACATCAAAACAGAAAAAAATTTAGATGGAAAAAAGTTGAAATCTTTAAAACAAACAAATATATTAATAAACATTATGTCAGCCATTTAATTTTCTTTTAGCACTGAAAGGGGAAACAATGACATTTGTACATTTACTGTGAAATTTATTTTAGACAGTCATATGCCAATACCAATTCTGAACTTACCTCCTAAACTGGGAGCTAACTACTTATTACTTATTTTTAATTGCTGTAATGTTTCTACCAAAGATCCTATTATTGACAAAAGAGCTCTATAGTGTCAATAATGACAACATCATCATGCACACAATACATTTTAAATAATACAACCTGGGAATATTTCTGGCCAAACTGTTTTGTTACTACACAGATACTGAAAAGGTATATGTTCTGGCTACTAACATTGCTTTACTAAAGTTTAAATTACTAGCGGCGCATCCATAATGCGTGACTTGTGTGTAATACATGGTTATGAATGCCAAGAACCTAAAAGCTCCAAAAACGAACAAAGACACAAATAACTTACAGTATGCATATGCTTGTTACCAGTTCATTTGCATTTGATTTACATATACCTGAAGTAAAGAATTACAGAGTCTTTTAACACTTCTCACATTTCCTGTTAATCCAAAAGCATCTTATTTTAGCTCTTTGTAAGCTATCGAAACACCATTATGAATTTACCGGAGACACTCGCAGAGCACAGAAAACTGGTAGAGCACGAAACATATGCACACCCCTAGCATTTATCCTTTAACGTTCCCCAAGACAGTTACTCGATCAAAGCATGACGGGCAGTTTTTCCTTCCTCTAGACATGTATCAGATTCATTACAGAGGACTTGAGGCCCTTCTTTCACGCAGAGCTTCCTCGTCATCCAGGCACAACATCTCTGCCTTTTCTTCCTTTCCTTCCTGCTTAACATCTTTTCCAGGCGCCCTCCAATTTTCATCTTCCAGCTTCATTCCTAGTTCGCTGCCCAAGTTACATCTGCTTTACACTAACAGCAAATTATTAGGAGAATTTAAGAATGATAGTGTTTTTTCTTGTTGGCTGAACATCTAAACCAAAATACTCCCTGTTTATTCACACACTGTCCATGTATTATTTCAAGGTTATACTGAAGATGCTTTTTTTAATCAAATCAATCACTCAAAAATGAACACAAATGCACAATAAGAATATCAGACTGCAAAAATGGCACCTACCTTTGACGTTGACATCTGTCCCCGGAACTGAAAGGACATTCAGCAGCATCTCCACTTGGTTCCTCTTGCAAATTCGGTGGATGGGTAACTCGCCTTTTTTGAAACAGAACACAAGCACATTTCTTAAGGTCCGGCTGCACCTTGGCCTTTGTATACGACGTGCAGCTCGGTAACCGCCTAAACAAGAGCAAGAGGAACATCACCCAAGAACAGATCAAAAACCACCAATCTGCTGTTAAAAGCAGAGATGCAGGACTTAAAAAAAGAGAGTAAAGCAAAGAGAAAAGCCAATATGTTCCTTCGGATTGTTTGCTTTTTCAAACATGTGGATTTCCAGGTACATTACAGCCCAGTGGCCGTGTATAGAGGCACGTCCCGCCCTGCATCACGGCAGAAGTGGAGGTTATGCTACACAGTCTAGACACAATGGTTCCAACAGGATTTTTCACAGATTGAAAGTTCAAAAGCTCCACAGGGCATTATGAATGTGCCACATGATACTCAATCAGCAAGTTAAAATACTCAGGAAAACTAGACTGAGGATTACTTATTTTTTTCACCTACTACCCTTTTTAGAAAACGATATTTAATTAACAGCATATTACGCCGAGGTGGGCCATGATTCTTGTACGGCTGAATCTAACAAGTGAGGGGAGGCCATGCCTGAGTGCTTGCTGGCACTGTACCACATACCATAAACACTTTAGGGCTTCATACTGGGATGTGGGAGGTAAATTAGGGTTTGCTCAAATAAAGCCCAGTATACTACTAAAGGAAGGGTTAGAGTTCAAGCAAAATAATAATAATAATAATAATAATAATAATAATAAATTAGAAAACAGACAGTATGCATCTTAAAGTATGAGTTTTTCTGCCATATGTCCTGCCAAAAAGCGGAGAGAAAGATCCACATCTGGAAAAACGTATCCTGAAATGAGCATGTTAGCAAAAGGACACCCAGAATCCAGTGGAAAAAGTCTAAGGCCCTTAGATTGACCCCACGCATATTCGGCACTCCAAATTTACTGGAATTTTTCATTACGTATCATTTCATACTTTTAACAACCATCCAGAAAGGAATATATAAAAAGAAATTCAAATAATTCGACAGTTCAACAAAAAGCACTAATGCTTTGGGATTAACAGTCAACTCCCTGCAACACATTCAACGTATAATAGGCTTTAAAGCAAGTGATTAAAGGGCCCGTCCAGCACTCCCAGCGTGTACACATCCTCACAAATGCCAGTACCAATCTGCACACTGTTAAATCACTTTAAGGGCAACAATTTGGACACAAAGCTTCTATTATAGGGGCAATTGCTTGCTCAGCATTTACAAGCACTTTTGGCCAGCCTTTTCTATAAAATTTCAAAAAGCTGACTAATTTCCACTAAATGCATTTAGGTGATTTTCTTCTGTCATTAGACAAGTACGCCTAAGCAACTCCCAGGAAAGACATGCTATGGTTCTCTCATTTCTTAAGATTTTTATTTTTCCTGCTGCTAGTTACTCAAGGTTGCTAATGGTATCTGTGAATAAAATAATCTATAAGCCTCCATTGAATAAACTGAAATGCAATCATGCTGCAAAAGCATGACAAAGAGATGAGTTAGTTCATGTTAGTATATATTTTGGTATAATTAGAGTTGCTTATGATTTCACATGTGTTCTACATAGGGTATGTCTTGGGGTAAACCATTCTCTAAAAATAAATTGTCCTGCTCGTAAGCTTGGGTGACAGATCAGTGCGAGCTGAACAGCCATCAAAAAAGATACACTTCCAAAACATGTGGAAAACGCATGGAATACATAATACTGAATGGAATAAATATTACCTAAAAACATGGGGAAATTTAAATATAATAAAGTTATCTTTCAGGAAAAAGAACACTCAGAAGCCTTGCACTTCTCCAGCTCAAACATCTCAGAAAAGTTACTTTGAAAACATAAGAAAAACTTTAAAGTATGGAGGACATGGCATCTGTTTCCTTTTGTTGTTTGTAGCCATCTGGGAAACTTAAATAACGTTTACGTCTGCACTGCACCTAATGCAGTGTCAATGCCAATGCAATTTGCTCATTTCCACTGTCACTTGGATTCTCCATCACTACCTGAAGTCTTAAATACTATATTACAGGCGATAAAGTAAAGAAGTTATCTGTGTTTTCAGACCTCTCAATCACAGTTGAAAGTATATCACTTACACCAGTGGTCTCCAGCCCTTTTCACAGTCAGAGTTACTCTTACTTATACTCTGGCAAGGTACCGACTAGGGATTGAGGAAGGGTGCGGGGGCTCTGTATATTTTGCTGATCAAGGGGGGGGTCCTCGGTTTTGCCGAAGGGGAGATTGGAAGTTGTATCACGAAATATCTCGGCAAGCGTCCGGTTGGTGACCTATGCCATTCCGAACATAATCTTACTACGAAGAATAGTGATCTGAAGGCATCACAGAACAGAGCAGTAGCTGTTCACAAGTATGCCTTAACGCTGATGGACACGCCCATCACCTCGTCACCTAAAGGGCCATGACGACCGCTGCCCGACAGCCTCTCAGCTGCCTGCTTTCTGGTCTGGAGAAAAACAAGTGGCCATAGCAGTGAGCTGGGAGAGCAGAAGGGAAAGGGAAACATAACAGGGGCTGCATTAAACATTAATGACAGTCGCATTAGTAGAAGGAGCACGTAGTAGAAAACAACACAAGTGAGCAGCCTTGAGTCTCCCTGAAGCTGGATGCCTTCCCTGTCCCACTACCCACCCCCCCCACCCACCCCCCAGCAACGGCCTTTCTGATCAGCTGGAGGGGGGAATATAAGCGCTGACAGTTCTGTGGGTTCACACAGAGTGCCACCATTCTAATTGCTGGAACTTGCACTTACTAAGTAAGTCACTCACTTTTGTAATGGAATCCTAATGGCTACATTTTAATGTCACTAAACTGTGGATCTGACACACAATACGATTGATTTTTTTTCTTTTTTTGTCGGTGGTATTAAAACATACAGAGGAAAAATCTTAAGTCACAGTGCACATCACAACTTATTCAAAACATTCCATTAATTGTAAAAAAATATATGAAGATATGAGAAACAGCTAGAGAGCAGCTACATTTTATCCACGAATTAGTACAAATGCACATGCATCGGTGATGTGTTTGATGTGACGTGTACCTGCAGCGTTGACTCTGTGAAGTCCTTTGGGCACTGTCTTCTTGTCCAGACTAGGAGAAGAGAAAATAATGAATTGCCACCCCAAGAAGTGAACAAGGTGGGGATCAGTTTTAGAATGTTGAATACTGCACTTACAGATTTGAACCATGAAATGTTTCAGTTTTAAATGACAAAAACCAAAAGCAAATAACGAAAAAATGCATTTTTTTAACGACAGTGTAAATTCCTCAACAATTAGCTGGGTTATTGGACACAGGAACAATACAGGAGGCAATTATTGGGACTGCCTTCACACATCCAGCTTCTCAGCAAGCGGGCATCATCCTGAACACCATGTCTCACGCAAGCAGAAGACAGCCTTCAAAAAATAAAAAATATAAAAAAAACTTTTTTGTGTTTTTTTGAAGGACTAGGTCAGTTTCACACCATGCAGTCAGACTCTGGGCTTCCCCTGAAGTTACTGTATATGCTCCCCTGCTGTTTTAAATGCCTTTCGGAAAACTGCAGAACAGGTCTTGTCTCGGTTACTTGAAGTGCAGGGTGAAATGAAAATCTCAGCCAGCAAGAGGCCTGCTGGAACATTCCGGCAAGGTGGTAGAAACCAGCCAGACAGGACACTGGGTTTTCAATTAAGGGCACTGCTCCACATTTTACACGTACCGTGACTTTTTTTTCCAGCTCGGTAAATAACAGTGCAAACTGCTTAAATAAATCTGCCCTGTTTTCAATATGCTGCGAGAAACATTTATTTGAATTACGCCAGTGACGAAAAGCACAGAGAAAAATGGCAGAGAAGAAAGCAGATTAATAAAAATAAATGAAAAGCAGAGGCACTTCAAAGACCCTGTGCGCTGTCAGTGCATAACGGAGCCGCCTTTACGACTTCTGACGGGAAGATGACACCAATGTGGAAGCCTTGCTTACAAAAACGATGCTTGTTTTACTGGTAATTGGCTGTCCCGCACCCAAGCGGAATATTCCGGCAGCGGCACAGCAGGAATGAACAGCTTGACACATGGCGCCTTATGAGTAGGGAGGGATAAACGTCGGCAG